GTAGCTGGCGGATGGGTTGGTCGGTGCGGAGCACAATGGTGTGTGCTAGAAAATAATGTCGGAGTCGGCGTGCCGCTGTTACGAGGGCCAGGGCGACTTTCTCGATCAGCTGGTATCGGGCCTCCGGGCCGTGGAGGGCTTTACTAGTGAAGTAAATGGGCTTTTGTCCTTCCCCGGCTTCACTCACGAGGACGGCGCTGGCGGCTTCGTTAGAGACGGCCAGATACAAATACAGGGTTTCGCCCGTCGCGGGGCGCGTCAGTACTGGCGGTTCAGAGAGGACGCGTTTGAGGTGGCGAAGGGCTTTCTCACACTCGTCCGTCCATTCGAACTTGGTCTCTTTCCTGAGCAGTTTGAAGAACGGGAGGGCGTGTTGGGCCGATCTCGCGATGAATCGCGAGAGGGAGGCTAGCACGCCGTTGAGGGACTGGATGGCACGCTTCGTGGTCGGCGGGGTTATATTGGAGAAGGCGTGGCATTTGTCCGGATTGGCTTCGATCCCCCGTTCGGTCAAGTAGTAGCCGAGAAATTTACCGGCGCAGACGCCGAAAGTGCATTTCTCCGGGTTAAAACGCATGCGACATGATCTCGCGGTCTCGAAGACCTTCTGGAGGTGTGCCGCGTGGTCGTCCTCCGCGCCGGATTTGACGATCATGTCGTCCATATATACTTCGAGCATGTCCCCGATCTCGTCGCGGAAGACGTGGTTCATCATCCGTTGGTACGTGGCCCCGGCGTTTTTGAGGCCGAAGGGCATCACGTTGTAATAGTAATTGCCCGACGCTGTCATGAAGGCCGTGGCTTGTTTGTCGTGTTCGGCCATCGGGATCTGGTTGTATCCCGAGTATGCGTCCATGAAGGATAAAAGTTTGAAGCCCGCCGAGTTGTCGACGAGCTTGTCGATATTGGGGAGGGGGTAGGCGTCCTTAGGACATGCCCGGTTGAGGTCAGTGTAGTCAACACACATGCGCCATTTTCCATTATTCTTTTTAACAAGTACAATGTTGGACATCCAGGTGGAGTACCGGGCTTCCGAAATAAAATTTGCCTCTAAGAGGTCTTTTACAGCTTGTTCGGCTGCTGCCGATTTTTCGGGGGACTGGCGACGTCGGCGTTGTACCACAGCCTTTGCGGTTGGGTTGACGGACAGCTGGTGGCAGGCGACCTCAGGGTCGAGTCCCGGCATTTCCGCGGTGCTCCAGGCGAAGAGGTCGGCATTCTCGCGGAGGCAGGCTTGGAGCTGTCGTCTCGCGAGGTCTGGGAGTCCTGCGCCTATCCTCACGGTCCTGGTCGTGTCTTCCCCGAGGGGAATGAGCTCGAATTCGCCATCCGGGATGGGGCGCGCTGGGTGCGGGGGCTGCCCGTTGGCTTCGTCGGTCTTTTTATTGTCGAGCTCGTCGGTGAAGCGACTGTCGAGCTCAACGGATCCGACCAGCTCTGTGGGTTTGTCCTTTGGTGTAGCGCTTGGCGCTTTCTTTTTGGTCGGTGGAGCGATGGAGTCGAGGCCTTTCAGCGCGGCTTCGAAACACCTTCGGGCAGCTTCGATGTCGCCGTTGAGGGTGACCACGGCTCCCCTTCTCGTGTAATATTTCATCTTCAGGTGGACGGTGGAGGGTACCGCAGTGAGTTCTGCTATCGTCGTCCTGCCCAGGATGCAGTTATAGAGGGACGGGCATTCGATGACTAAGAATCAGACGCTGATGTCCCTGGCCGTTTCCTCTTCCCCAAAGGTGACTTTCAATTCCACGTATCCCCAGGGTCTCGTCGTCGTCCCGTTGAACCCCTGGAGGTCGGAGCCTACGTAGGGGGAGAGGTTGGATTCGTCGAGCTGGAGAGTTGTGAACAGATGTGAGTACATTATGTCAACCGAGCTCCCGCCGTCGACGAGGAGGCGCCTGACGTCGAAGTTTGCCATTCGGGCACGTATGAGCAAGGGTATGTTGGAATTGGGAGATCCCCCGGGTAGTTCCTCGAGGTAGAATGTGATCGGGTTGGAGCGGCCCCGGAATTTGTTGAGCGTGCTCATCTTGCCGGAGTTGCTCGCGATGAGTTCGTCGAATTTCCTTTTCACAGATCCTATGGACAGACTCCTCGTGGCTCCATCAGAGATGACCATGGCTCTGGGGAAGTATTCCCATCGGCTGGTTGGTCGGATTGGCTCGTCGACTAGGCTGGGTCCTTCGGGGATGCCGAATCCTCTGCTCGCGAACCAATCCTCGGGGCGGCTGACGCACAGCGCGACCTGGAGTCTACCGCTGTCCTCTAGAGAGGGGAGTTCCTCGATTTTCTTAGCCTCCGGAGCTTCTGACCGGGGTGGTTCACCTCCTCGGGTGTATCGCTTTAGGTGCCCGTCTTTGATTAGGATTTCGATCGCATCTTTGAGATGGATGCAGTCTTCCGTTACGTGCCCATGGGTCCTGTGGAATCGGCAGTACTTCGATTTGTCCACGTTGGGTTTGGGCGGCGTTGGTCGTGGAAAACGGACACCTCCCTGCACAAACTCGGTTTTAGCGCATTCGGCCAGTATGCGTTCGCGTGAAGCGACCAAGGCGGTGTACTCTGTGAATCTTCCTGCCGGGCCGCGTGGTTCGCGCTGTTCGCGGGGTTCGCGGGGGCGGTCTTCCCGACGGCGGTCCCCTCCTCGTCGATGGCTCGAAGCTCCGTCGTCTCGGTGCCCGCGGGGGGCCTCCCTGTCTCGGGTGTCGCGAGCGGAGTTGGGCGCTTGTGTTTCCTCGAACCGGATGTAATGCGCGGCCCTGTCGAGGAAGTCTTGGAGGGACGTGGGCCGGTGTATGCCTACGGCCTCGTAGAATTTGGAGTCGTGGCGCAGGCCTTGTTCCATTAAGTAGCGTTTCATTTCGTCGGAAGTTGTCACCTGCACGGCTTCCCGAGTAAACCTTTCGATGTATTTCCGGAGGGGTTCGTCGGGGCCTTGGATGATTGCCCCGAGGACTGCTTCCGTCTTCGGGTGACGCCGGGACGCCGTGAAGTGTTTGGAGAATAGGTCCTTCAAGACCCTCCACGACGTAACTGATTCGGGCTCCAGACTTTTGTACCAGGTCATAGCGCCTTTCCTCAGAGTCGTCGGGAAGAGTCTGCATTTAATAGCTCCCCGGACGTTTCGGTAGTCGAGCATAGCCTCGATATCTTCCAGATGATCGTCCGGGTCGGAGGTGCCGTCGTACGTTGACAGCGTCGGTGGTTTCTCCATTCCCTGGGGTATGGGGGCTGCCATGATCTCCCGGGATAGCGGGGTGCGGTAGTCATCCTCGTCGCTGTGCGCCGGGGATCTTAGGGGAGATGAGCCGTTCACGGTGTGTCCCGGGTTTCGGGTCCTCGATCTTCGGCCTGAGTTCCCGCCTCGGGGTTCCTCGGTTGGGATCGCCGCGGCGTTCTGGTTCCTCCCGCGACCGTGTCTCGCCGGGGATCTGGTGCGCTCCCGCGTCGCCTGCGGGCGGTGTCTCTCCAGTCGTGGCCGGCGGTTCCTGAGTCGAGGTGAGGGGCTCCTCGAACCTCCGTTCTGGTCTTCCCGCTGGGGGTACCTCGGGGGGCCGACGCGTTCCAATGCTCCAATTCTAGCATTTTGTTGGAACAGCAGCTGGTTCGTCTGGTTGATGGCTGTAAAGAGAGCGGCCACCGTTGGGTCTGCTCCCGCCGGGATGGGAACGGGGTGGAATGCTTGCGGGCTCGGGGGGCGGTGGTCGGCCTGTAGGGGCCGTTCCTCGGATGATGGTGAAGCAGTTTGCCCGTCCCTTTCGTCGACTTCCGTCAGACGTGCCGTTCCTGTCTGCTTCCCGTTGGTGGCGGTGTTGAGCGCAAGGTCGTGCGGAGTGTCGTCGCGGCGTGGGCTGGCCATGACCGTGGAGGTTTGGTGAAACTTTTGGTTTTCTGCTCGGAGTAACGGGGAAGTTTCAGTTTCCCACAGACGGCGCCACTGATCTGACCTGATCAGGAGGGGATCACGGACTGGCCACACTCCGTTGGGCTGCTACCTGTTCGTCGGGGTGAGAAAGAGGAGGGGGGTGTACCTGCAAAGCACTCCGACGCCCAAGTAAGAAGTTGGACAGAGAGGAAGCAATAGTACAGAAAAAGGGGCAAGATGTGAATTACCTGACCCTCTTGAGGAAGAGGGTATTTATAGAGAGACCCCAGCGCTGGGCCAACGGTCATTCGAGGTGGGCTGGACGACCAGGCCCAACCCTAATGACTGCTAGGGCTTACGTGGCGTAGTGAAGATCAGGACGTGGTCTTCGCCCTAGTTCAACCGCTCCTAGATCTCCGGAAAGTGGGTTTGACCTGCTCTTTCGGAGGTGGGCAGTTGACCGATGACGTGTCCCCGCGGAGGGGAGCACGTGGAGAACGTGCGCCGAGCACGTTATTCTCCCCGCGGAGGGGAGCTCGGGTGGTTCCGCTCGACCGGCATGGTGGGCGACAAAAAAGGGGGTGTGGAGACGTAGCTTGTGCTCGGCGGCCTGCCCCTGCTCGTCAGGAAGGGCGCGTGACCGGCGTGCTTGGCTCGCTTGTTGGGCCGCATGCGTTATTGGGCCTGCCGAGGTGAGGCCCATACCGGAACAATATATATAATACTAGGTTTTAAATTATCTAATACTCTAATCTCAACCCATACTTATTTCAACAATATAAATTATAAACTCATCAATCTATAATTATCGCAACAATACATAATTATTTCACTATTTCACTATGATATTCAAAACAAGTCAATTTAATATTCTATTAAATACAATTAATTGACACTTTCCTATAATTTAGGCTTATCTTAACTTTATATCTTTCTTACTATTACTTATTTTTCTTTTTCCGAGGGTTGAGCCTAATCCCCTTTAGCTTGTATATTATATATAAAGGATTAGGATGTTTTTGCATAATTACCGACTAAGTTTGGTTTATCAGACAAATCTAATTTTTCCCAAATAGAACAACCACAAAATTTCACATCTATATGAATAAATTTATTAAATCAACTTTAAAATCCATGTTCAGAATACAATAAGACATACAAAAAGGCAACAAAAGAGAAAATTTGAAATCCTATTCAAAAACTTATCAGTCTGCAACTCCTGCCTACTCATTCTAGAGTCATTACTCCGCGCCGTCTCATAAGAATTCCTCGAACTTCCGAATACCCCGGAGAAAACCATCTCCCCAAACATCCCAACCACGGGATGGTTCTGAGACCCTGAGGTCACAGAAGCACCAAGATTGAGCATTTGCGAAGTAGCATCATCCTCTTGTTGGTAATATCCACTGCGATAAGGATTACGATACGGAAGCAGCCGCTGCTGCTGATTGCTCTGAGACTCGGTTGCCAATTTTAAAAGAGCTTGAGCACCTGAAGCAGATGGTCTTGGTGGTACAAAATTACCATTAAAACATGACGATTTCTCACTCGACGGAGCCTGGCTTCCGCGGCCATACAACGGTATCATTGTTGTATGAGATATGTTATCTTTGCATACAGGACATTGCGGATGTTCGTCGACTCCAAGAGAATCATCACTTTGGACATGGAGCCACTTGTAGATGCAAGACCAGCAGTAAAGGTGGCCGCAAAGCGTGACTACCGGCTCATTCGCAAAGTCTAGGCAGATGTTGCAGTCGAAACAGCCGTTGAAATTTTCTGCTTCTGATACTGAATTTGAAATGGTTTTTGATTCATCCGGAAAACAATGCTGAAATGCCATGAATCAAGCAATTGGTTCTCAGAATTGGTGCTTCTTTGTCCCTGAAACTGAAAGTAAAAGATATCAGTCATATGTTTTTGTAATATGTAACAACGACACTTCAAATTCAAATTCAAATTCAAAACATGTCTGGTAATCTAGAATTACCCGACATCCTAAGTTGACATCAACACGACATCCTAAGTTGACATCAACACGACACCGTTTAATTACTTTAAAATTTTCAAATCATTACAAGCATATTTGTGTCATGTTTGTGTCGGTATCTTATTATTACATGTACTTCAAAAAAATTGTATAGAACAAATTTCTTTGACATAAAAAAACCCAGAAAGAGAAAGTTCATAAAAAAAGATCTTTGATAAACGCACTTGAATACTTTAATAAATTTGCTAATCCAGAATTCCAGAAAATTAAGTAAAACAATAGCTTTGAAAGGAAGCAAAAACATTGAGATCTAATCTAAGCAATGAAAATTAAATCAAACTTCAAAGCTTGCAAGACAAAAACAACAACAATCTTAAACACAGCAACCTTAAGATGATGATGAAAGAAATATAGTGAGTTATGAAGTTGTTTGAGCATAGAACATGGAATCTAAGAGAAGAAAAAAAGATATCTAAGAAAAAGGAAAAGAGAGACATACCAAGAAAAGTAGAAAACGGAACAGCTTTTGGTTTCTGAGAAATTTCTTGAATTAAAGCAATGACAAATGAATGAAGACAGAGGTTTGCCTATATAGTGCTGGATGGATAGACCTAAGACAATGATTGTAGACGTGGTTATTAAAAAATAATCATGCCTAAAATACTTAAATAAAATATAAACTAAAAGAAAAGTTATTCAATTAAATATTTGTAAGATTTTGAAAAACATTTTTTTTTATAATTTCTTTTTCTTTTTATTTAAAGAAAATTCAGGTGAGTTGAATCTCAAAAACTCATCAAAAATAGATTTAATGTTCAAAAAAATTATTAGAGTCAAACTATTATTTACCAACAAAATTTTAATATTTACAATAATAATCACGGTTTGAAATGGTTTTTAAACAAAAATCCATGTGATTTAAAGATAGAATTATTTGTGATTTGATTTAATTTTAAATTAATTTATTAATATTAATATTATAAAAATATTATAAAATAAATGGTTTGAAGGAATATATAATATATGATATATTAAAATTTAAAATTGCAAATTAAGAAACATCTATTATAGAAACAAATGAAAAATTAAAATTAAATTGATAAGCTGAATTATAAAGAATATATTTAATAAAAATTGAGAAAAAGATAGCAAAAGTTTTTAAAATTGACCTTTGGTCGTCGCACTTTTATCACTGGCGGTGAGACTTTTAGGCATGGGGAACTTAACTAGGGTGGCACAAAAAAGAGGGGGAAATGGAAGAATGGACCGAGGTTTTGGCACGAAGTTGGATAGCGAAACGACTAGAAAAACAACGACATGACTGGGTTATGGGAGTTCCAGGGGTGAGAGATTCACACGCTTTGGTCAGAATCACAGGTTTGACAGATTTAAAAAAATTAATAGTGGATCTGACATTAGTTATGGTGGCTACGACAACCACGAAGGAGCTATTCTTCGTAGGTACAAGTTTGGTCATTCTAGGAATACTGCTTCTAGAGAAAGATCACACACGCGTAGGGACTTGAGTAATGAAATGTTTTTTTTTACACGCAGGAGCATTAACGGTAGTTAGTTCAATAGGGCATGATGCATGCACGGAACGTTTTTGGGCATCAGTGGCCTCTTTCTATTTTTCTAATATTCTATATCATCTTCAATATGTAGATTTGATAGGGGAACTAGAGGTATGTGGAATTTTGACTGTTGTTTATGTTTATTGAAATAGAAATGCAAGGGGAGAATTGTTTTTCATTCGGTTTGCTAAAGGGATGTGGAAAAATTAAACAAAACATTAAATAATGTTTATTTTGGAGATTATAGATTGTATGCAGCCGCGGAGCCAGCGCCCGACCAGGTAGGGCAGGTGTCCAGGCTCGACCGCCTCGAATCACTTTCATGGAACTCTTCTCCTCCATCAACACAATGAACAAGACGACAAGTTGTGAGCACACCTGAGATAATGGAACGTGTATATACTATAGAATTTAAAATTTTACAAGTTGAAGATGCAATTTTAATTCAAGGAAATAATTCCTTTGGGATTAGCATTGTCCTGCCTTGGTAGAAAATTATGAATTTGGTGGCGCAGCCAGTGGAATGCAGAAAATACAGTTTTTAGTCTTGCTCACAAGGTGTTCGATAGAATGCTTTAACTAATTTTTCGTCTATTTTTGCTTCAAATCTTTCACTTCATGATGTTGAATTATTGTTTTTGTTGATTGTTGTTGTTGCAGGTTGTGGTTTATGAATCGGTATCAAATTGTTGTTGTTTCTACCGTTTTGCAAGTTGCACACTAAGTGTTTGGTAAATTGCCTCAACCAAGTTTCTTTTCTTTTTTTCGTTTTTGTTTCTTACGAATTATGAGGCTGAATTGTTGTTATTGATTCTTTCACTTTATGTTGCATGAGGTTCAATTTATGCTCTGCACCTGAATTGTTGTTATAAATTGTTATCATTATTACATTAGTTGTTCTGTGGAATGTTAAGCCAAGGAATATGCGTGGTGTCAAGTCATGTGGAATGTTAATGGCTGCTTCTGATTCAAAGCATGAGAATGTTGAACTTCTGTTCCCTCCCGAGGAAGCAAATCCTGGTGAAAGAATATGGTTTGGATCTGAAGATGAAAAGGACAATCAACTTGAAGCTGCCAAACCGAATCAGACAATAACTCAACTTTATTGTTTGATTGTAAACTTTATACATGTTCTTCCTCTCTTAACTTTGATATTTTGTTTGGTTTATTCTCTTGTATTGCCATAACATTCTTGTGTAACAAACATGCAGATACAAAAGAAAAAGATATGGGAACTAGTGCAGCCTCATCTTAAGACAGGTGTTTCTTGTACGACGATGCTAGGTGACCATGTAATGTGTGCATCTGTAGGCACATTGGCATGCCAGTCTTTGCAAAATGCAAATATCTCCTTACCAACATTCATTTTCTCAATTTACACATCTGAATTGGCAATATCTATCTGTATGCAATTCTTCTTTTTTTTGGCTCATGTTAAAACATATGTTCTATATATTTTTTTTAATTTTAAATTGTTTTTCTGAAGTTTCACTTGGAAACAAGTTGAGTTGAGACTCGAGGTTAAATCAGAATTCAATTTTTTCCTCTCAACTTGTCCGGTCTCATATGGTATATGTTACTGAGAATTCTGATTTATGATTCTATGTGTTTGCTATAAAGTTTTAGTTCACTGTTTTTGTGGAAATTGGTTGAAAGGTGTACTATTGATCCAATGCTGCCATTTGAAAAGCATTAACATGTTGTGTATTCATATATTAATCCATAGGTTCAAAATAGAGGTATGATGCGGGTACCATGTGGCCTTTCATTGAAGCTAAAAAGAGGAGCATGGTACGATGCAGATCTACATAAAAGCAGTTTAAGTGGTTTTGGAGGTTACCAAGTAAGTCTTCTATAGATGGCTTTAATTTATTTTATTTTAAAATAGTATGCATATACAATTATTGAGATTTAAAGTGAAAATCAATTTTATATTATCAATCCATTAAACTCTTGTGAATTATAATACAATGTGGATTTGCGGTCTTTGAATTTTTGCCCAGGCTTTAGAATTTTTCTGGCTCCGCCACTGATTGTATGTGAATGTGGCTCATTGCAATAGGTTTGAGAAGGTTGATATGATATTCTTGGGGACAGGGAGGGGAGAAAAAATGTCGAGATATGATGAAAGAATTTTTTTTAGGGAGAATGGGAGGAAGCATGTCGAGTTTGGGATTAAGAGGAAGAAGGAGATGGGGAGGGTGAAGGAGGATGTCGTAAGGAGAAAAAAAGAAAAGGAAAATATCAAAGTAGTGACTGTTGAGGGTGTGGTAATCAAGAGGAAAAGAACTGGGAGGAGCAACCGGTTGTTATTTAAAAGAGAAATGGTATGGTGGTTTCGTATGCAGAGCTAGTAAAGGAGACTCAGAAGAAGGTAGAAGGGGACGAAAAGGGGAAGGAAGAGATGGTACCAACAAGTAAAAGTTATGAGGTTGTTCCTGAAGACATTGATTGGGCCTGTTATTGTATGGTGGTTAGATTCGGAATGGTGTTACAATTCCAATTATTCAATAAACTATTTCAAATGTTGGGTTTTATGAATTTATGGTGGCACTGCTAGGAGGAGACAACACTTTCTTGTATTTTATGGGCAAGTCGAAGGTGATGTCTATTTTTAATAAAGCGGCAGATTTATTTAGTACTTTAGTGTATGATTGTCATGCTTGGTCGAAGGATAATGATTTGATTTATGAAGGAGGGGGATGGGTTTGTTGTTATGGTATACTATTACATGCATGAAATGTGAGGTTTTTTTTGGAGAACTTGCTTTGGTTAAAGGAAGATTGTTAAAAATCCACGAATGTACAATTAATAAATTGAGGTTGGATTGTTCTCGTATTTTTATCACTAGAAAAATGGCGGGGGAAATAATTGAGGTAGAGGATTTTTTGATCGACAGGAAGAAATATCTAATTCTATTTGTGGAGGATCTAGAGTTTGGCCTAGTAGATGATGCTTGTCTAGCTACGTATGAGGAAGACAATGAGTCTCATGGCACTAAACCGAGATGCGTTTTTGAAGATGTGTCCTTGGTTTATAACATTGTGAATCAAATTTACACCGATTGGCCAGTAGGTGTAAGTGAAATCAGAAGGGACGAGGACGTTCAGTCTAAGGAAGTTCTGACTTCAAAAGCTGCTAATAAATGACAAGGACCTTGGAGTTATGAATTTATCAAAAAGAAAAAAATCAGCGGAGAAAGTACATTCTCATGATAAAGCAAGTGGAAATATTCAAAATAAGCAAAGGAATGGAAGATGGTCATGCATTCCACTTAAT